AAGCTTTCATCTTTCTGAGTTGATTGGAGATTCGTCTTGAGAAGTTGTTCGGCAATCTCTTCATTCATCTTCTTCTTTTCTTCATGGGCTTGCAATGAACCCAGAAGTTGCTCTATCGTCATGACTTGTAAGTCCTTCGTCTCTTCGATAATGGTTGTGATACTATCAAATTTTGAATCTAACGATCGGAGGATCTTTTCCATGATAGCCACATCTTCTTACTTCTCACCATTTCTTTTTAGTTGATTGGAAATGGTAATGACTCTAGAAAAGTAATCGGAGACCAACTCGCCTTCTTTCATATGCAAAACATCAAATTGACTTCTTAAAGTTTGAAGTCGTACCTTTTTAACCTTCTCTTCTCCCTTATATGAAACCTCGAGCTTCTTCCATGCTAGTTTGGCCGAAGTAGCACTTGAGATCTTCTCAAAACCATCTTCATCTAAAGCTTGATAGATGAGGAAGAGAGCCTTCTTGTCTCTCTTTCGCAAGTCTCGTAAGTTATCCTTTTGTGTTGTGGATAGAACAGACTCATCACTTGGCTCATCGTAGCCTTTCTCAACAACCTCCCAAACGTCATGCGCTCCAAGGAGTGCCTTCATCTTGATACTCCAGTTGTCGTAGATGCTTTCCTTAAGCATCGGGACTTGGAACGAAGCCATGCCACCGTTTGCCATTTCTCTGTAATGGAACCTCGCTCTGATACCACTTTGTTGGAATGGAAAAGCTTTTAGGAAATGACAAAGGCTAAAAAACAACTTATGGAAGAAGCTTCACTCTTATTTAACACCTTAACTTGGCTTGATACAAACTCAAAGACTCCACCCCTATTTATACTAGTGGCACCTCCTAAATTAATGGCTAAGATTGTGCCACCACAATTACAATCCAATGGTTACAAATAATTCCACACCTACCACACAATAATTCAACACCTACCACACCTACCACACCTACCACACAATAATTTCATACCTACCACATATTCTAGAATAAGCTTATAGAAATTAAGTTTTATTTAAACAACTAAAACAAGTTTATATTTCAACATTTTTGAGCAAAATGAGTGGAGATATTGCTCGCCTCACTAGCAAATAATGAGTACAACTCTTCTAAACTGATGTAATAAATATTCGTTCTGATTGATGTTTTGAAGGCTTGATAGGTAGGAAGTAAATTTTTCAGGATGTAAATAATAATATCATCTTCATTAAACGAAGAGGCTGCATCAGAGACACATGTTATCAACAATGGTCTCGATCTACGTGAGGCATTATGTCATGGATAAATTCTTCATGGAGACGTGGTGTAATTCGTTGTTGAGTTGGATAACACCAGAATGATTGATGGCTTGTAGTTCTTTACCGAACTGAGCCAAACATCGTTGCACGATTTAAGATTCGCAGCATAAGGAAGAATGACAATAGAGATGGTGGAGAGAACAATCTTGATAATCTTAGACCTCCATATGGCGTAATTTTTGGTGGAAAGATGGGTATTCGAGATGGCGAGAATGTTAGAGATAAGGATTTTAATTGATCGGGGTATTAGCTTATATGTGTTATTCGACAAAGCCAGATCCGTGTTCAGAGTTGAGGAACTGGAGTCCTCCATTATAAAAACGATAGAGTCGCGGGGCTTAAAGTTACTCTGATACCATAAAAGTTGAAGATCTTGATGTGAGGAAGAAGAAGAAAAGCTATAAAAAAAGTTATATATCTTATTATTACAACCCATAGAATAGGTACAGAGAGCTATATATAGGCCCAACAGAGAAACACTAAACAAGATAAAAGCTGATTACATTAATTATCATAATTAATATAATTTATTGTATGTTATTACAAGAAGTACCATTATCAACAATGCCCTTACTCACAAGCCCGAAATTAATTTCTTACACGGCCCCTTGAGCTTAAGCTTTGCTCGATCTCATTTTCCTAAATACGTGTGTTTCAGCCCAAACCTTACTACTCGCTCGAGTTCACTTATATGCTAGACCTTTTTGTTCAATCATCACTTGCGAAGCCATCGAATAGATTTCTTCATCCCCTCGCACAACTAACGGCTACTGATTTTTTTTTCACATTTTCTTATCATCTCTATAGAAATAAGTTGCAAGCATCATCCCAAGCCCAAACCAAGACCACATTCTGGCATCTTCCTCTTTGCCAAACTTGAAAAGGCCATATTTGATGCCAGCTTCTTCCCCAATATCATCCACTTTCTTTCCTCTAATTTCCCTTCCAATTTCTGGAATCTGTACCTAAATTGCCTGTCAATTTCCAAAATAAATTTTTGTATTAAATAAAATAGAAGAAAAGCAATATAAATGCAAAATTGTTATACATAATCTTACCATTACCACAAATTTTATTTATCAGTAGAAAAAATTACACTACTTATTTGTATAAGATACAACATAAGACTTAGGAGCCATGTTTGATTACAGGTATTAAATTTTAAAAGTATTTTAAACATAAAGACATCAATAATAAATAACTCTCAAATGTTCAATCAAGCATGTGTAATATGTTTTCTTGGTATGTCAATATTTACACTCGACACAAACAACTATTTGAACATCACATAAACAAAATTACATTGTTTTCCTATTAAAATTTGTGTTGAAATGAATTGTGAGTAATACCTGCATAATGGAACCTTGCAGTCCGTGGAATCCTGAGCCATGCAGACTGCAGAATGAAGCTTCAAGAGTTCCCATATTCGACGGCAGCGAGAGCAGGTAGAACGGTCGCCGTTACATTTGGAGAAGTGGTGAAGGAGGAGCTGAAGTGGTTGGCAGGAGGAGGAGGACGGGCAGCAGCTCTTCTGGCGCCGATCGGGCTTAATGTCTGTGCAACCTTCTTTGAAGATGTGCTCAAGGCAGATCATTGCCTCACTAAGCTGCTGGTATGTCTTCTGCTCTTCCTTATTTCTTCTAATTTCCTTTTCCCTCTGCAGTCATATAAAAATAGCAAATTTAGTTTAAATTGTATTAAATCGTATGATCTTTAGTTCTCTTTGTCTATGGATGTTAGTAAAGACATATAAATGTTTAAGATAATTACATATTTAAATACTCTTTTTAGCAAATTTTTTATATGTTAATATTAATAATATTTTAATTTAATTTAAAGAAAATATTATAAATATAAATCGAAATAATTAATCATTAAAATATTAAAATATATAATAATTATTTGTAAATTTTGGAATCAATATTAACTATTTCCGGCCACACAAACCTCGTAATTAGTATAGCTGGGAATCTAAATGTCATATGACCATAAAAGTAAAATTTTTTATTTTTATTTTTTCATTTAATATGGACTGATGGCTCCCTGCTAACCAAACTAATTATTGGAGTTTAAATATGTATTAGGTCGTTTTCCTAATTTTTTTATTTGTTGGTGTAGTGTCTTTCATAGGAAACAAATTCTTAGATATTACCAAGGAAAGAAAAAAATATTTTACACTTCACAATAAAAAAAATTGGGACATTTATATAAATATCACTCAATTCTTCTGTATTTGCATAAATAACGTATAACACCCAAACATTTAACATATTTACATGCATATATCACTCAAATCACAAATATCAATAAGAAATATGGATGGAGAGCCGTTGAATTTATCATTAAATAAATGAACTAAACAAATAAATCAACACTCATCAAAAAAAAAAACTTAAGAATTTCCAAATTTTCATCATCAATTTTTATTAAAATATTCTCTCAAAATTTTGGATATAAATTATCTTAAAATAGGAAGACGTAAATTAAATAACGAAAGAATAAACATTTCTAATTTATTTTAAGATTAATGAAATACAAAGCTTTTATATATAGCAATTAATCTAAAATTGAGGAATGAAACTTACAGTATCTGAATCATGAAGAAATTGGAGAATGGAGAGCTCGAGCCAAGGATCGTTGTTCTGTAAGAAAAGCCACGCGTCGCTTGTCTGTACGGTGGTATAATCCTTATGTATCAGCTTGAAGCAGTGGAAGGCAAGCCAATCCGCGTCGCACAGCCGCGCAAGCTTCAGCACGTCCACCACCACTTCGACGTTGAGCCAAGACGCGAGCCATTTCTCGCACGCGCGCTTGAGCCACTTGACTTGATACACGTGCGACAGAACAAGCAGATGCATCCCGTTTTTTCTCATTATTTCCTCTCCCTCTTTGTCGCTGCGCCTATTTAAACAAATCAATTATTTCCATCTTCTTACATATTCATATATATTCTTTTAATTTTCAAATATTAAAATACAATAAATTGTTAATAAATGACCGAGTTAGAACATTCTAATCCAAATTTAATTAAAATAAGCTTAAAAATTAATATGATGAGAGAAAAAAGGGATAAATTCTTACGATCCGGCATGAAGCAAAGCAACGAAAGCAAGAACAGCATCGTTAGGGGCTCCAAGAATCCGAATCACCTTCTCCGACCTCCCATGATTCTTCCGAGAATTCAGTTTTCTCTCCAGCACAGGCGACATTGATGCCTGTTTTATTCATCAATAAGCTTTTTAATAATCACTTCTGAAAAAGCCACAATTTTTTTGTTTCGGTAAGATCTAAAAGAGAGAGTTTGGTCAGTAAATAACCAGTATGTTGGAACGAGCAGGAATTCGCTGGCCGGCGGATGTCAGTACGTAAGTATCAGCGCCGTCGCCGGCGAGCTCGTTTCCGGCGCTTGCTGACTGCGGGACAACCTGAGCTCTCCGAGCGAAGAGCTTAGTCATTGTCCTGATTAGATGACTCCAAAGTTGGGTTTCTGGTGCATTCATTGTGGGTTGTATGGCTATTTATAGGGAAAAACGGCCCTCTTAGGTTCAGGTGGGACGACCTTTGTGGAATTCTTATTGGAAATAATTTAAATCTGTATTTAATCACTGAAGGTGACGTGGAATAAGCACAGCTGGTCGGGTATTTAATTGCTCTTTTTTCTGCGTATTTTTATTTGTTTTTGTATATTTATAAATCAAACTTTTTTATATAATTTTTAATGATTATGAGAAACTATGAGAAAAATATGCAAACCACTCTAATTATTCGTATCCACGCAAATTCGGTGTTACGTGTACACAAATATCAAATTATTTCTAACCACGCACTTAATTATGATTATGTTCAAATATTAAATAAAAATAAAATAAACCACTCCAAATCAAGCGCTTAAAAATATCTGGTTCTATTATTAAAGATGTCATTTTCAAGGGGAACGTCTGTCAACAGTGTTGGTGACTTGGGGACTTAAGTGAATCGAGTCGACTCCCCAAAATTATGTCGCATCTCACGGGCCACCTTCAATCAATTAAGTTAGTGAATAATTAAATACAGCTGGGCAGCCTGATGGCCGTTGAGAAAAAGATATTTTGAATTTCTTTTTAATTTAAGCTACTAATCAAATCTAATCAATGGTGTTTGGAGATGAATCGAGTCATTTTCATGCTCTTGTTAGTGCTAAGTAGCTTTCAATGTACAAGAATTATTCTCAGATTTTTTCGAGGGCGGAGAAAACTATCTTCCATTTCAAAGAAATTGTGAGTTTAGGCAATCACTAATATAACAGTCGAATATTTATGTCTCCTAGGATATTTTATCCTCTAGAGCTAAAAAAAATGGAATAAGGAAATATTATGTTATAGATTATATTATACATAACATATATGAGATTTTTTGTTATAAAGATATTGTCTTTGGTGTCAGCCCGCTCATAAATGAGCAAATGCAATGATGGGTTAGGTTTCTCTTCCTTATGGTAACTTTGAATGATTGGTAAATGAACTTGACTATGAAGCTGGATAAATGCAGACGTGCTTGGTGTATATAGGAGAGCTCAAACCACAAGCTCACCAGGTCCTGTTTAGAAGTAATTCTTCTAGATATCATATCAATTGATATGATTTGAGAATTAAATTTGTTCTTATGGACTCTATGTGCATTATAATATTTACATTAAAAAAAAGTAGTTTTATCCAATAAGCCCATGTAGAAAGTTAATTATAATTGCGATTTGTTAAAAATATAATTTAGAGTGAAGCTAAAAATTTGATGAATAGATTTTAGGAACACTTACATAGATATCCCTTAATTCCATTGTATTTACATATCTAATACCTAAAATTTAATTTTTACATACATATCACCTTATCTAAGTATTAAAAAATGCATTTCACTTTTTAAAATTAAAATAATTATATTTTTTATTGTGGCACGCTTTCAGGCCAACGAAAATATCTGCCTTCGTCAATAAAAATCTGCACATACTGAAGTGCTTTGAAAAGTTTGTTATTAATATCTGCCATAATTTTTTAGGGTATTTTGGATGTTTATAGGGCTAAGACGTCCAGCTGTACTCTGGCAATTAATATTTATATCAGCCTTATATTATCTATGTGTTTGTACATAAATAGCTTATGGTTATATGGATATACATGTATTGATAGTAATTGAGTATATGAGATGCACAACTACGTGTCTTTATATTTTGACTCTCCATGGCATCATCATTTCAGAATATATATATATATACATAGATATTTATTTGGTATGTTTAAATTGTCCATTTATTAGCCTGGAATGGCATAATGGACAAGATAAAAAGGAATGTGGTGTTTGATAGGTAAATAGATGAGAATGGTGTGGTATGTATGCAACCCCTTTTATTAAATGTTCATTCATGTACTGTAATACTTCTCCCAAAGACTATATGCAATATAACTTGAGCTACAAAATACTTTACAACTTGAGTTGAAGATTTTTATTTATTATTATTCCTTTTTGTACGGTTTTTTAGCTTGAAGAATACACTACATGAATTTTGGTCTTTTTCAACAACCACAATCCATTAGTTATGATAAGAAAAGTCATTGCTTTTAATGTTACTAACGGTTCATCAACAGTTTTAAACTCGTAGGTAAAACACTTGTTGGTAATTTCAAAATCGACCGATATTTCGACGACATAAATGTACCAACGATTTAATGTCGTAGTTTTTTTAAGACAATTCGATTCGTCGGTAATTTTCGGTTTGTGTGACTAACGGCTCTTCTGTCGATAATAGTGAGATCATACACATCGGAAAAGCATCTAACCCATCAGTTTTTTTGAAGTAGGTAAAACCATAAGTTATGCATTGTATTTAATAACTAGCGGGTTAACTATCAGAAAAATATCGTATCGGCCGGTTTTTGAAACAGGTGAAACTGTTAGTTAAGTGTTGTTTATGCTACGTTTTTTATAACCGACAAGTCAACTATCGAAAAGAGTCGTGCTATCATTTATGTGCGACGCACCTTATGTCGTCAGTTATGTGTCGGTTAGATGTTGGTAAAAATGTTCACTGGCTGGCCGTCGTTTTTGCTTACAAATTAGTTTAAAATCGTCGCAAAACCGACAGTAAGCTATCAGAAACTTGTAGCATAAGGAAAAAATAAATATATATTTTTATTTCGTAAATACATTATCATGTCAGTTATCACAACATTTAATATACAATTTCAAACATTTAAAAAAATAACATAACTGTCAAACAATAAATTATTCATGTAACTAGTAAAATAAATAAAATACATTTACTTCAAAATATGTACAAAGAAAAATTATATGTTCAACAGGGGAACTTGCACGAGCAGTAAGGGATGAACTTTGACAGGTATGTTGGCTAATTTGGTCGAGCAAAGCATAATTAAGCTCGCTGGACAATTGAGCAAGTTTGCATTCGATGGCGGTTAAGTTTTGCCAGGAGTTAAGTACGAGACCAGATTGGGACTTTCAAGCAAAAGGATTTTTTTGGTATTAGAGAATTGAGTGGTATCTTTGTAAATATGAAGGTTTAGGTGTGAGATGTGCAAGAAAATAAGAATTAAGAGAATTGAGTGGTATCTTTGAATATATTAATTGCTGAGTAATTATATATGAATTCATTATATTTAACAAACATGCTTGTTTTTTTTTCTTATTATGTTGCTGTAATTTTAATTACTGAGAATTCATAAAACATTAAATTATTATTTTTTGGCTAAAATTTAGTGATATAAATGAGTGACAAAAAAGAAATCACTTATAAAACAACGTAACTGTATAAAAGGAAGGTAATTACAATTACAAAATTATACTTTTAAGATGAATTGAATTATCTATATATATATATATATTCTGAAATGATGATACCATATAGAGTCAAAATATAAAGACACGTAGTTGTGCATCTCATATACTCAATTAATATCAATACATGTATATCCCTATAGCCATAAGCCATTTATGTACAGATTATACTAAGGACAAAGGCTGATATAAATATTAATTACCACACTACAGCTGGACGTCTTAGCCCTATAAACATCCAAAATACCCTAAAAATCTATGGCAGATATTGAAAGCAAACTTTTCAAAGAGCTTCAGTATGTGTAGATTTTTATGGAGGAAGGCAGATATTTTCGCTGGCCCGAATACAGTTAGTCTGCATTTAATCTTCTGGTCTCTGAGAACTGATGTCTGGAAAAACATGTCCGGTGGTATGTTTTTGACCGAATTTGTGATTGAATTTGTTCAATGAAAGGAAAAATATATAATTAAATTTTGAGGCATTTACATATTATCTATTTACGTATCTAACAGCCAAGCTTTCATATTAATTATATGCATAAATCAAAAGTTTTAACATCACATATCATTATTACTATCCTTCTAAAAATGAAATATGTCATTTCAGGCGTATGGTCAAGCAAGTGTAATTAATGAAAATATGGAAATTTTGTTGGTTGATTTGTAATTACATAAGACTTGTGTGAAATGGATATACGTTTCTCTTAATTTTTTTATTAGTAACCTTAGGAAAAAAATATAAATGAATTATTGACGCATTTCCTATTAGCCTAATAATTTGGTATTTTGATTGGAGCACACATGGTCTTTAGTTCGAGAGACATGACACTCATTTTCAATTAAAAAAAAAAGAAAGAAAAAAAAAAAAGACGTGGTAAAAAATATAGTTTGTCTGAAACTAAAATATATTTTTAACCAATCACAATTATAGTTAACCTTCTAAATATGCTTATTGGATAAAACCACTTTTTTGGAATGTAAATATTCTAATGCACATAGAGTTCATAGCTAACAAATTGTACTCCCCAGCCATATCAATTGATATGATTGGTACAAGATTTACTTCTAAACAGAACCCGTGAGCTCGTCCATCGAGCTCTCCCATATACACGAAGCTCGTTTTTAGGCTACAAAGCCGAGTTCATTTACCAATCATTCATGGTTACCCAAAGGAAGAGAACTCTAACCGATCCTTCAAGGTTGCTCGTTTATAAGCCGTCTGACACTTAAGATAATATTTTTTTAACAATAAATCTTAGATAGGCTTTGTAAAGTATGATCTATAGTATAATATTTCTTTAAAAGCATCCTATGAGACCTAAATATTTGATTGTTATGTAAGTGATTGTCACTAAATCATCATCATCATCATCAACATGAACTCACAGTTACTTTAAAAGGGAAGATAGTTTTCTCCCCCCTGAAAAAATCTGAGAATAATTCTTGTACAATGAAAGCTACATTGCACTAACAAGAGCATGAAAATGACTTGATCCATCTCTCAATACCATTAATAAGATTTGATTAGTAGCCCATATTAAAAAGAAATTCAAAATATCTTTTTCTCAACGGTCATCAGGCCACCCAGCTGTTTTTAATTATAGAGTAAATTAAATGATTGAAGAAAATGGTGGCCTATGAGATGTGACATAATTTTGGAGAGTCGACTCGATTCACCTCACTCCCCA